AAGGCTATGAACGGAGAGCCGGCTCTCTTAACGGCTGTGGCGCACTGTGAGTGCTTCTCTCATATCCACAATGCTCCTGTCCCACTGGAGTAACAGCAAAGGATTCTGGGAAATTACACAGTTCAAGGGGTGCGCCTAATTGGCGCACGCGCTTTCCCGTGTACCTTGCCATGTGACCCAATTCTAGCCAATGAGATATGAGGAGAGAGCTGCTGGAGGCTTCTGGGAAAGTTCTTTGTTGCTCTCAAAAGAGAATGATGGGCAGCAATTTCTACTCGCCAGACATGAATGAGGAGGGATGTGGCCTGAGGACCCCAGGCAGTCTCTCACAAGCTGTGAGAGGAACCTAACAGCATTGGGATGAAGCCAACACTTGACAGCAGGTGGAGAGATGGAAGGAATCTGGCCCTAGCTGACACCGGCGAGTTTCTAGACCAAACTCGAAGTTACTCTAGCTCTGGACTCCATGTTATGTGGGCCAATGAGTTTGGGATGGGTTTTTTGTTTCGCACGGTCCAAAGCAACTGGCTGATAGACTTACCTATCCCCTTGGTGAGAATGGTGTAGTGAGCAGATATTAAGGCCATAGAAATCCATAGGACTTGGAGAAGACAGAACATGAGGCGTGAGGGGGAAGAAACGGAGCTGGTCCCTCAGGTTATCCATGTAGTAGGACAATGTGGCCGGCTCAGCTGGGGCCCAGAGATGCTCAGCCACCCCTCTGCCCCCTTCTTCCCTCCCTGAGTGTCTGTTCACTCTGTGGACACACATGGAGGTTTCGTGCTGTCACTGTTGAAGGAGGAGGCACTTGGTTTGGAGGGTGCAGAGGAAGGGAGGGACAGGAAGAAGACAGCAGTCACGGCGTGCCAGTGTCGCCCTCGGAGGGACTGGAGACCTGTGGCAGAGTGGGAGGCCAGAAGCAGCACACGCAAGGATGGCACACAGTCGGGGGCAGGAGGGGGTGGCTTCTCTCCCTCGCCCCCATGGCGCGCACGAGTGCACGTGTGCTAGCTGCTCCATGACGGGCACCGCCGGCGGCGGCAGGTCATGGGCGCTGGACGTGGACAAGAGGGAACCAGTCAAGGGACGAGGAACACAGAGCCCAGTGGCGGCTCTGACCCGCAGGCTTCATGTAGCTCTGGGTGTCTCGGAAACCCGTGGCTCCTGTTGCGGCAGGAAGAAGCCTTAGGTGGCTGCAAAGGAGCTGACATGCCCATGTGGCTCCTACTGGGAGGACGGTTTGGTGAGGCCAGGCTGGTGCCACCGGCTGGGGCCACAGAAAGCACGTGCTGCGAGAGGACAGCTCAGTTTGGGGCATGCTGGGTCTGAGACGTCGGGTGGGCAGGTCAGGTTCCTCAGGCTGGATTTGAGTGCTGTCACTGAAAAGGCTATTTTTAGCAGTGACTTGGGTGGAGACAAGAACATTTCTCCTCTCAAATATGCAGCCAACTCAGAGGCAGCAGAATAGATAATTCCAGACACTCGTCAGGATTCTGAAGTGTGTCTGGGATTCCTGTGAAGAGGTCGAGGAAGTAGCTGGATATGAATCGGGACTTTGAGAGAGAGATGGGCTAGAGACGTGACTTTGAGTGTCACCAGCTGAAGGACATTAATTTCAGTTATGGGAATGGATAAACCTACCCAGTGTGCAGTGTTAGTAGAGAGAAAGAAAATGAAGAACCCCAACACTCGAAGAACAAGCAGAGGAGCAACACCTTTTACAAGGCCTTGAAGGAACAGCCAGAGGAGAGCATGGTGTCAGGGCAGGCACAGGGGCCTGGAGAAGGAGGCAGGTTTCCAGCGCCGGCGGGGCGGTGCGGGGAGCGAGCGACAGGACAGTCACCGATGCCCTCGAGGAGAGGCGTTTCCGGGTGTGGATGAGGCTGGAGCTAGACTGCAGTGGGCTGGGAAATGAGTGGGAGGGGCAGAGGGCACACGACAGGTGTGGGTGAGGCTTTCAAGAAGTTTGTCTATAGGCCGGGCGCGGTGGCTCACACCTGTGATCCTAGCACTCTGGGAGGCTGAGGTGGGAGGATCGTTTGAGGTTAGGAGTTTGAGCCCAGCCTGAACAAGAGCAAGACCCCGTCTCTACTAACAATAGAAAGAAATTAATTCGCCAACTAAAAATATATATACAAAAAATTAGCTGGGCATGGTGGCGCATGCCTGTAGTCCCAGCTACTCGGGAGGCTGAGGCAGGAGGATCACTTGAGCCCAGGAGTTTGAGGTTGCTGTGAGCTGGGCTGACGCCACGGCACTCTAGCCCGGGCAACAGAGTGAGAGTGAAAAAAAAAGAAGTCTGACCACAAAGTCAAAGGGAGAGAGACGGCGGGCACCAGCGACACAGGGCGAGGGTGGCGGTGACCGTGCAGTCCTGAGAGGGCGGTAGGAGCCAGCTCGGGTGGGCGGGCCCTGGGAGTGAGGGGCGCAGTGCAGTGCGGCCAGGACTGCTCCCACTTTCTGAGGGAAGGAGGAGAGGATGTCATCTGCTGAGGGCAAGAGGGATTTGGGGAAAACGGGCCACCTGGGGATTAGCCAGGACCACAGAGGACGCGGTCAGAAAAGCTGAAACTCAAGTTGAGGTTGGAGGCGGTGTCTGACTTTCCTCCCCGAGCCCTCCGCAGCTGAGCACAGAGGCAGACAGCACTGCGGCCGGTCTCGGTGGGCAGGGTGTCAGGTGGGCAAGGGCTCCTGGGCCAGGGGAGGGACCGGCCAAGCGCAGGGCTCTTCCACCTGCACCTGCAGGCTTCCTGCAGCATGACGTGCTGCTCCCACTTCCTGCCCTCATGGGGCTTTTGTGGACAAAAGGGGAGACAGAACCGGACTTAAAAGCATACCAAGCCACCTCATACCTGTAAGGCTGGCTGCTACCAACAACATGGAAAATAACAAGTGTGGGTGAAGATGTGGAGAAATTAGAACTCTCATGCACAGTTGGAGGGAAGACAAACTGGTGTGGTCTCTATGTAAAACAGTATTGCAGCTCCTCAAAAAGTTATAATAAAAATAGAATTGCCATATGATCTAGAAAATCCACTTCTGGGTATATACCCAAAGCATCGAATGCAGGGTTAGAAAATCCACTTCTGGGTATATACCCAAAGCATCGAATGCAGGGTCTTGAAGAGGTATTTGTACGTCTGTGTTCATAGAAGCATTAGTCACAATAGCTAAAATGTGGAAGCAAATGTATCCATTGACAGACGAATGGATGAGGAAAATGTGATATAGCCGTACGGAATGTTATTCAGCCTTAAAAAGGAAAGAAATTCTGACATATGCTACAACATGAGTGAACCTTGAGGATATTTTGCCAAATGAAATAAGCCAGTCATAAAAGGACAAACATTATATGATTTCATTTATATGAGGTACCAAGGGTAGTCAAATTCAGAAAAACACAAAGTGGAATGGCAGTTACCAGGCTGGAGGGAGGGGCAATGGGGAGTTATTGCTATAAAGTTTCTATTTTGCAAGATGAAGATTTCCGGAGATGGATGGTAGTGACAGTCACATAACAACGTGACTGTGCTTCATGCCGCCGATGTGCACACTTAAAAATGGTTAAGATGATAAAGTTTATTTCGACTATATTAGCATACTTAAAAACTGTTTTTAAAAAAGCCTATGGAGAAGTGAAAGGCATTCACAGGGTGGCCAGCAGTGGCATCACGTGTGCAATGCATGCGATCTACAGTCACGATCCTGACATTGTAAAGGGACCGGGGAAGGGAAACCAGTGGCGCGAGCTGGGAAGAAGAGCAAGGAGAGGGAGCTCTGCTCCTGCCCCTCCCACTGTCAGGGCCTGGGGTTTTGTGAGGACGTTTAGGACGCACGCCTTCCCAGGCTCCACACCCACAGATTCTGGGAGCGCGAAAGCAGCGAGCCACCGCTGAGCTCAGGAGGGCTGGGGGGCGCTGCGCCCTTTCTCGCCTGGCCCTGCGGTCTCCTCCTTTCCTACAGGAAAGATTCATCTCTTGATGACACCGCGCTGAGTAGGAAGAGGTGTTTTTGGCAAGGCTTAAACCAAGCTCAGAACTGCAGCGAGGCCTTCTCTTGCGGGATACGGCTTCGGAGAGGGCCAGGTGGAGGCGGGGCAGCCCAGCCCGCGCGGCCGGAGCCCGTGCAGAGGCCCCTCCCCTCCGCCTTCCGCTCGGCTCCGCTTTCCCTGGCTCGGGCGCCTGCTCCTCCTTCCTCCAGGAAGCCTCGGCTGCCAAGGGCCGGCCCTGGGCTCCGCAGCAAAGCAGATCCCTTCTCCGGCTGCTTCCCGTGTGCCCAGCAGGCGGGCTCTCCTGGGCACACCTGGAGACTCGCGCCAAACCGGGCCGCCCCGCCCCGCAGGCACTCCAGTGTGCGCATGTGCGTGCGCAGGAGCCCGGCCAGGCCAGATTCAGAAGATGAAGTGACGGAGCGAGGCCTCAGTGAGCTTTCTCCTGGAGCTCCAGCTGGCGCCCGCAGGGAGAGGAGCGCGCTCTCCGCACGGTACCTGAGGGGGTGCCCTGCAGTGTGTGCACCTGCAGGGTGCCGCATAGCATCTTCCACCCGTGGTGCCATAACCCGCAGGCGCAGATGTGGACAGCGCTCCAAACCAGAATCCCTGGAGGCTTTCCTGCTTTTCTCCATGCTGTATGACTGTAAATTTGAAAAAGGCAGGAAAGGAGTCCTTGGGAACAGCCAGGACCTGTTAGGAAGCTGCACTACTGCTCTTGACCACCAGAGAGCAGTGGCACAGTGACTTGCTGGGTGCTCAGAAAAGGACCCCCTAGCTACATGGTTCACAGAGCCCAGCGAAAATGTGTCTTAAGAGCTTCAAGACACAGCAGAGCCTCGAACCAAGCGTTGGGCCCTTCTAGTCACCAGGCCCTGCTACTGCACAGGTCACACGTGCATGGCGCTGCTGTGGCTCCGGGGCCTCAGGATGTAGCCTGGCCTTCAAGCAGCTTCTCCGCCTCAACAGAGCTCAGGACAGGGCTGCACGGCAGAGGTCCCTTTGCTTTTACCTGCTCGCCTGTCCTTTTCCCCAGTGTCCTGCTGACTCTATGCACAGAACTTGGAAAATGGCATTTTCAGAGAAAGTCACTGGGGTGTAGTTTCTGCAAGAGAAGGTGTTTGGTTTCACATTTGTTAGGCAATTTATCTTGGGAATTGGGGAATCCCTTCAAGAAGCAAGCACATCTAAAGCAAGTATCTCACGGTCCAAAAAAAAAGCACAAAGAATCCAAGCTCTGAAAATTTAGCTTTAGTTAAGGCTCCTCATTTGGTTTTAAATATCTGGCAACCCTTTATTTTTTATTTTGTTTTATTTTTAGAGATGGGGTCTTGCTCTGTCACCAGGCTGGAGTGCAGTGGAGTGATCATAGCTCACTGTAGCCTCCAGCTCCTGTACTCCAGCAATCCTCATGCCTCAGCCTCCCAGAGTGCTGGGATTACAGGCACACTGCGCCTTGGCCTCCGTTTTTATATTCAAAGCAGCCAGCATGTTCCAAAATGTTTGCAGGTACTTGGAGCCCAGAACTGGCTCCTAAGGTCCTGTCCAATGTTTATAATTCTGTGTCTAAGAGCACAAGGTGGGGCTGGGGAAAGCCCTGGTGGGAGTCTGAAGTCTGACCTGCTATGTGACCCTGTTCCTGCCCCCTCTGGCCTACAGCTGCCCCTGCCATAAAACCAGGACATGAAACTGGTCCATCCCCCGGCCCCACCCAGCTCTAACACTCTACTATTCATCTTGAGAAAGTCTGTTTAGAAGCCAACCAGGCTAAGGTGAAGTGAATTGGGAAACAAAGGTGTCCAATCTGATTGACAAGCTAAATAGAAGGAAATAATTCTTTTGAATTAGGGGCTCACATAGTCCACATATCCTCACTGGAAAAGGAGGGCACTCATGTCTGCAAAGCTCCTAGCTGAATCCTGCTCACCCCCTTGGACCCTAAGCATGTCACTGCACGCGGAGCGTGCCCTCCCGGTCTCTCCCTGCCTGGAGTCAGCCCATAACGGGAAAGTGCGGTCCCAGTGCGTCCCTCATGGCTTTGTGACCATGGGCAAGTCCTGAATCCCAGTGGCTCTCCTGTTTCCCAAGCACACAGAGGGGGCTGGATGGGCCACTAAGCAGCACTTCCGTCCTAAAAAGCCACTTTCAGGATTCCCTGAGTGCTCAGCAACTGTCACATAAGAGGTTATTTAGCAGTGACAGGTATTTTTTGTGCCCAATGCCTCGTTCTGAGGCAATCATGTCTGGAGAGAAAGAGGGTCTGAAAGGCGATGTGAGCTCGTAGCCTCCCGTGCTCAGCGTCCCTGCTCGCCTGCCCGCGCTGCAGACCCCGCCGCTCGGGGCCCAGCACCTACCCTTCTCTCTGGTCATCTTCGCCCAGGTTCACCAGCAGCTGTGAGCCGGCTGTGGAGAGGTCGGCGGCGGCCAGGGGCAAGTCCCGGTAGGCAAAGGGCAGCAGCTGCCCGGGAGCAATGCTCTTGGTCTCCTCCTCGACTCGCTGCGAGATGATCTCAACTTCGGAAGCCCCTCCTCCCATGGCAGTCCTGGGTTGGAGGGGACAACAGGGAAAGCACCCTGAGACCAAACACACCCTTCCACCGCTCAGGAAAAGAGGCTCCGCAGCCGAGTCTGTGCTGTGCTGCTGCAGGCGCTGCTGCTCTTCGCTGCGGCCGCCCAGACAGGACTGAGCCCTAACCAGTCCTATCTTCATCACTGGTTGGGAAAAGTGGAAGAATGGGAAGGGAAATTGCTCAGGTCTAAAAATACGAGCTTTTAGGGCAGGGTCCTTCATTAAGGGGAAGAAAAGACTAACTCTGCCAACCAGCAAAACCCTGGCTTAGACTTTTAGGATCTGAGTCACTAAACTTTATATTGAGTAATACATTCTTTTAAATTGTCTTCTGGGTTTCTTTGTAAACGTGCTTTGAAAGAGGTCTTGTCCACAATTGGAAGCACTGTGGAGCGGCCTGCAGGGACCCGGCGGGCTTGGGGGTAGCGAAGATGGGTGGGAGCGCAGCTGTCCCTGGGTGTCACTCCCTTCCTCTTTTAACTTGTCCTCCCATATCTGCCTTTTTAAAGTTGGGCGTAGGAAATGGGGCTCACTTGATGGAGAGTCTGAGGAGTTGCAGGTCTCTTCCTACTCACTGTCAGGCTCACCTCGGCACTGCACAGGACCCCCACCCCCTCCACGGGGCATCTGGCGATTTGTGGAGGCATTTTTGGTTGCTACAATGACCACAGGAGGTCACTGTTGACATTTAAGTATGGGCAGGGACACTGTACATCCTGCGATGTGTAACAACTGAGAACTGAGCTGTCCTGCCCAAATGCCAGCAGCAACCCTGTGGGGAGCTGCTGGACTGGATGGTTTTGCTTTAATTTCCTGGGGTGCCGTCTTTGATCCCTTCAATACGTCCTTGGCCCTATCTTATCCTGTAGCATCTGAAGGGCTGGGGCTTTGCCTCTAGCCAATCAGCGAGGGCTAGCAAGGAGCATGGTATGAATGGAGAGGAGTAAGAATGAATTGTTTGAGGGGGTGGCGAGCGCCAGGCCCAGGGCCGCGCGGGACTGGCTTCAGTGCTGAGGCGGCACCCAGCCTGCTCTGAGCTCTTCTTGGGCTCTGGTGCCAGCTTGAATGCCAGCTTCTGTGGGGCTGCTCCTGGGCCTCGGTTTCTCCAGTTAGAACATGAGGAGGTGAAATAAGGCTTCCTAAGGGACATCCTTTCTCACTGTGCCATCTGAGAGGGCTAAGAGAGACGCGGAGCAAAGTCGAAGCAGCCCTGGTTACAAGTCCCTGTGCGAGTGTGGGACTCACTCCCAGATCTCAATTCTAGACTTTTCCAACAGCCATTGAAATCTAGCCGAGAATACACAGTGGCAGTTATCCAGAAGTTCAGAGCTGGATGCTTTTGCTTGGGTCATCTGATAGGTGAGGGGAAAGTGAGGTTTTTATTTTAATGGCATGGATTGGCTGCCTAGACTACCTAAATTCACCAGATAAAACGCCCTGATTCTCTTTTGTATGCCTTATTTGAACCTTTGTTTTTTGCAACTTGTCAAGCACAGATAATAGTATTCATCATTAGGTGACATTTACAAAATGACTCAAGTCATAGGATGCACGGCTTCTGTGTCTCTCAACAACTGATATACAAGTGTGGGTGTTCATGGGGGGAAGCCCAGCTCCCCAGATGTTTCCCGAAAAGTAGATGCTGGGTTGAATTTGTTCTCTTTTCTTCTGGACTACTGAAGGAAATTATGGATTGCTGAATTGAACAAACTGACCTTTCTGGTCAGTACGTTGTTTATGGAGGGTGAGTTTCCGAAACTAACTAATAGCTCTGAGAAGCAAAGAACAAGCTACTTCTCCCTTCCTAATTTTCCTGACCTCCATGTCCCTCCTGCAGTGGTCACAGTGGCACAGCACCACCTCCCACCATGTGGCCGTCTCAGCACAGAGACAGGCCGCCTTTGGTGGGATGAAGGTCCCAGACCCTTGCGTTGAAACTACGTCCTGGTCTTGGATGCGAAGAGCAGCATGGCGGACAAAGCATGTCAATGGCTTCGTTCTTCGCCTCTCCTTGAGCCCACGCCCTTTGCCTGGTGACTTTGCAGCTCCTCCCATCAAAAGGAAGAGCCTACTTCCCCAACCCTTGATGCCTCCTTCAGTCACGTGTCTCCTTCTGGCCACTGGGAGCCAGCAGACACGGCACCAGCAGAGGCACGAGAAGGCCTCCGCGTCTGCGCCCGCGCCCGCGCCCCCAGCACGGCTCGGAGGGCCCGGCCACTGGAGGATGAGGGACAGCGTGGCAGGCCAGTCTCACCTAGACCAGCGGACAGCCACCAAGACCCACGCTAAAAATGATCACAGCCAAGATCAGCCCGGCTATCTAGCCAACTTGCCAGACATGTGAGCAGCAAACACTTGTTGTTGTGTTCTGCTGAGGCTCTGAGGTGGGTGTCACACAGCATCGCTGTGGCAATAGACAATGGGTTCACTCGAGATGACAGAGCAGCCAGGCCCATAGCTAAAGAGGCGGGGACAGTGTGCTATAAATATAATAGAAGGAGTGCTATTGTCATCTTAGTACTTTTACCAACCAGTTGCAAAACACAAAATAAGTGACCACTTTGCAGGTGCTTGGTAAAATTAAGTGCTTGGTCCATATGGTATCTTAGGTTTGGGGAACTATTATAAAATATAATATTATAAAAGCTATTCTCCCTTAAGAGTTCTGCCCCTGGTTTCATAGAGCCTGCTTTTAGAAACTCTCTTATGATTGCTAAATTTCCTTGCAATTCCCATTTTGTTACTTTATCCTAAGCACTTCCTAATCATACCTTGAGGCTTACTTTTGAAAGGTTTTCCCATTTTTCTGTGGTATCCTGCTAAAGAAAATGCATGCAGTGGTTGCCTAAATTACAAGATCCTCATCTTATGGGAGATTTAGAGCAACAGTTCTGGATACAGAGAGAAAACCCTAACGTCACTTACTGTGGGTTGGTCATGTTGAAGGAGGCAGCCAGAGACATGGGTTTCTGAGTGTCTAGTGGGGCTCAGCTGTGCTGAAGTTGGCTGTCAGCATTTCCAAGCGTGGGTTCTACAAGACACATACAAACAGTGCCCTGAAAACAAAAGTAGGAACTTATTGCCTTCAGATGCCAAACCAAAGTCCTCCTATGCTCATCTAAAAATGGGAATCCTTGGAACTTTCTTCCATCTAGCACTTTCTTCAGAGTCACGTTACATAGATTCTTACAATTACCCTATGCAGAGGTGACAATAGGCATAATTTCTGTCTTTCTGAGATAATTAAACAGAGTCAGAGTGACGAAGTGACCTTTCTGTGTCACATGGAGAGGGCAGAAGAACCAGGTTAGCCCTCAAGTTTTCTGACTTCTTGTCTACAGCAATTCCCACTAAATTGTCGTGACGACACAAAACAGCATCACTTTACACTTCAGCCTTAAGAACCCCAAAAACCTCGTGTTTTCCACATATACTGCCTCTTACTCTCCTTTCCTTTCGGGTAGTGCTGTCTCTCTGTTCCTCCAGGCTTTTCTCTTTTCCTTTGCTCAGCTGGTCCCTTAATGAGAAAGGCAGACCAGTGGAGCTAGGAGGACAGACACTGGACCAGACTGCCCAGGGTTAGGGCCTTGCCTCATTTACTAGCTGTGTGATCTGGGGGAAGTTACTTACCTCCTCTGTCCTCAGTTTCCCCATCTGTAAAATGAGGATAATAATAGAACTAACTAGATGAGGTAATTCATGTAAGATGCTTAGAACAGTGCCTGGCACATAGTAAGTACTATATAAATGTTGGCTTTCATTATCATTATTATTTTTTTATAAATTAAAATTTCACAGTCTGCTGAATATTTTTAACTTATAGGACCAACAGTAATATATTTTGGAAACTATAGTTATTATAATATAAAGTTATAAACTATAAACTTCTCAATGTCAATTCATTTACATGTTTTGTAACAATATTCAGTGATTACAATGTCTTTGATTCAAATACATAAGCAAATGCACAAGCAATAATGTAAGCAGTACATATTAAACACCATTACTGCCTAAACTTGATAAACAAGTAAATAACTTTGTAATTAAAAATATATTTTTAGGCAAAGTTAAATATGTTGACACTAGCAGTAATATATTCTTGTGTGTGTGGACCACAAAGGTCTTGGCTAAAGGTCCTGGCTAAAGTGTGTATTTTTAAGGTGCAAAGCATAAAAACGGCTTTTGAGAATGACATTGAACATTTCAGACAGCTTCAAGACAACGAATCAATTCATTCCCAAGTACTGGGTTCAATTCAAACAATATTCCTGTAAAATCACAACATTTCACGAATTAAATTATTACCTAAAGATTGTGAAAAGCCACTCTGGATACACCACACAGCGATTCAAAGACAGACTAACTTCTGTATAAGTACAGTACAGTCACTAATTTTTACTAGATTTTTTTTTCCTCCCTGAGTCCACGTCCACCAATTCTGTTGATTTTGTAATATATACAAAATCAATAGTTACCTTAAAATATTTCATAGCACACTCAAATTGTATGATTTTCTCCATACTTATTGCACTTTGGCTTCCAACAGCCCACTGGACATAACATGACCATGACTGCTCATACAACTGCTTGTATGCCTCAGGGCATCCGCTCCAAGATAGACCATTAAAAGTTCAGTGCATGAGGAACTACATGAGGTTTTCGGCCAAAGTCTCTACACTTGAATAGCGAACCTTCTCGAAGTCAAAAATGTCTTTGAGAATGAAAAGAACTTGATTCTTAAAGAAGCAACATAAATCATAGAATTTCTAGGACCCAGAAAGCCCCAGGCTAGGACTGGACTGATGTGTTCACAAATGGCATAAAAATGGGCAAAAAATCCATCTGGGATCTTCATCTGTTGCCTTTTCTTTTTCAGCACTGACCAACAACTTGAAGCTACAGCTATTTCTTTGAAGGAAGAGTTTAGCCAGCGATTATTTACTACATTCTGTATGGATATGAGCGGGTTTTCTAAATCTTCAAAGGAATCCATTAATATAAAATCCAGAACAACATCATAAAAGTTTAGGTTTTTCACCCCTCTAGCAGCAAGTTCCATTTCAGTACTATCCCAGTGATCAATCTGCTCTTAAAAATAGATCATTTAATCAAAAACATCTTCAAACTTCTTTGGATTCTTTTGTGCTTTCACAATTAAAGCTGATAAAATTTTCCTTCCACTCTCAGCAAGGAATAACCTGTTGGCTGTTTCTGAAAGAATTACCTGAAAAGCCTGTCGAATACAGTGAAGTTTGGCAAGAAAATCACTGTCTCCTAGGCACTCCAACATTTCAGTTCTCAGTACTCTTGAGTAAATTTTTCCTTCTTCCACTAAATGCATGGCTCCTTCATAAACAGGGCAGTGACAAGGAGATTCCAGGCTGCAGGCACGCCGCGCCTCTCTGTGCTCTGCCGCTGGAGCAAAGGGGTCCGTTGACCTGACGCTTAACGTACCTCGCTGGCCAAAGTCATCCCCGTTCCCTCGTGGTAGTGTCTGTGTCTGTGTCTTTATCAATGTCGTCTGCAAGGGAATGAGGATCAGGTGCCCCAGGGCAGCTTCAACTCCTCTTGGGGACGATGCGCTCTTTGCAGCAGAGCTTCAAGTTTATGAATAAATTCAGAACTACTAATATCGTCTACACTTTCTTCAGCAATGGCATCTCCTGCACCCAGTTTAATGGAACTGCAGGCTTCGTCTTCAGCCTATCTATTGCGAAAGGTTAGGGCTTGTTCCCATCGAGGTGACGCCTCTTCAAACGATTCCATGCCATTAAGTGCAAGTTCTCAGGAGTGGTCACAGGAATATTAACAAGTTTAATATCATCTTCATCAGCATTGTCCCAGGAATTGGAATTGCCACAAGCACAGCTATGACAAGAATTGACACTCTGGACGGAGGCCAAACTCTGTGCAGAGCCTGGGTATTTACTGAAAAGTCCTCCATTAGCATAGTTACAAGACTGAGATCCTTTGTCTTTGTTGGAACTTAAAGACAATGTCAAATTCTGTCTACTACTGGAACAACGTGAACCTTTATCTGAAGCTGCTCTTTTAGTGTATTCAAGGATGAGGTGCTCTGGTTCCCATGGTAATCGTTTTCCTTTCTTTTTTCCACGTTTTCTTTTAAAGTGATGGGCCAGAAAAATTACAGACTGTAATTACGGCTGTTACCACAAACAACTTTTTAGCTACTGGTGACAATCTGATCCCAATTCAGCGCTCCCCTTGCGGGCCTCCCCATGCAAGGACCGGCCAGACCCGCCGCCAGCCTCTGGAGCAGACAGGTGCCGCGCAGGGCAGGGCGGCGACAGCCCGAAGCGGGCCAGGAGTCCCGACCAAGCCGCGCTGGAGCCTGCGCCTCCTCGCCCTCGGCCTTCGCCCAGCAACCTCGCCACCCCACTGTGAGCTTCGGCAGGTCCCCACCACAGTCTGCTGCATCTGAGCACATCCAAAAGTATCTGGTGGCTGAATATAATATTTCCTTTTAAAATTTGGCCTTGGTAAACAGAATATACTTTTCTATCAACCAATGCTACACAGTACCACCTAGAAGTCTTCCGAGACACAGTACAACCTACCAGAAAATACACAAGCAGACAGACCCACGTTCTGAATGATTTTGAACCGTTATCAAGGAGATTACGCAAAGGGGCAATCCTTCTGCACGTTGCATTCCACTGCAACCTGCTTCTCCTACAAGAAATCAAGGAAGATAAAACCTGCTCTCCAGGTCCTGCTGCTCAGCCCTGATGGGCAGTCGGACTAGAGACAAAGCAGGAGGATGCCACCTCCTGCAAAAGGAAAAGCTGCTCCCAGGGTGAGAAGTATCGGAGGAAGCTCCTTCAAGCTCTATATAACTAAGAAAAGACAGAGAGCAAGTTAAAGAAACTTGAGGAGATCCTGGGAAAGTCTGAACCTGGAGCAACTGGAAATGAGAGAGATGCAGAGCTCTCTAAAATTAGAAGGACTTAGATGGAGGAAGCCACCAACCATTTCCACACCAGATGCTCGTGGGGCAATAAGAGCATGGGACAACACCAGGGAGAACTGGACAGACGTTTTGTGACCGCACCTTATTGAGGGTGTCCTCTTCCCTTAATGACCTCAGTAAGGGGGTGGAGGAGGTCTAGGCAGTAAAAACACAACCGTCTTCTATAGTATTTGGGATTGTGTATTAATTGTATAGTAAACTTTATAAAATTCTCCATTCCATAACATGGATTTAATTAGTCTGAATCTTTTTTCTTCTCTTAATAAAGCTTCAAGTTAAAGTCTTCCCAGTATTAAGACTGATCATGTGGATTGTCTAACCTCAACTGACAATGACGTTAGGATTGAAGTATCCACAAATGGAGGCCAGTTGAGGAATATTTCCTTCCAGAATGGTGTTTTAACAAGCTGTGTTCTCAAATGAGAACTGTATATGCTACACAAGATATTAACCCTGTGGAGAATACAATAGGAAGACCCTAGCTTGCATGGACCTTCCAGTCTGGCTGGGTGGGCAAGTTTAAAACATGCAAAACTCTAAACTTTTTGTATATCTCTAGTAATGAAGAACAAGTAATAATTGATAAATCTATATTTATAAATATTTTTAAATAAACATGAGTTGCTGTACTAATATATTATGGCCAATATAAAACATGACAAAATAGAAATGAAAACGATGAAAAAATTTTTGACTTTTTAGGAAGGAAAATTTCAAATATATACAATTGTAGAGAATTGCAGAGTGGACCTCTAGTTTCCTGCCACCCAGCTTCAACAGTTGTCAGCTCATGAGCAGTCTTGTTTTCTCTATATCCCTGCCCATCCCCCATCCCTCATGATTACTTTGAAATATATCCAAGATGTCACTTCGTTTGTCTGTAAATGTTTCAATATGTAACTCTAAGGAGAAGGAGAAAGACTCCTTTTAAAAGATATAACCACAAAACTATCATCAACCTCAAATCAACATTTTCTTAATATTATTAAATATCCAGGCATTATTCACACTTCCTCCATTTGTCTTGTAATTTTATTAAC